TCAGCAAAGATGATATCTTTTCCAAATTCTAACATTGATAACTAATTAACTTTTAATCAAATATTATAACCCTAATTAGTTCCAACAAACTAAAAAAGGCTGCAAATTAAATCAATACATACAACTCTCTCTCTCGCTCTCTCTCTCTCTATTATATATCTATATATATATATATATATTTAATAATACTCCCACCTATGCTTTTTATAAAGCCTTGTTAACTATATATCTTCATGAGATTAAACACATTTGTTATATATATATACTCCCACCTATGCTTTTTATAAAGCCTTGTTAACTATATATCTTCATGAGATTAAACACATTTGTTATATATATATATATATATATATTTACAATTTTTCAAAATATCCTCTAATAGGTCCAACGTATTTGGTGGGAGGTGATATATGGGAGAGTTACTATTTACACTTGAGAGTAATAAAAGAAATAAGAGTATTTTTTCAAATGAGTCACAAATCTTTTATTAAATTTTGTAAGGGGTCTTATATTAAGTATGTAACACTCTAAAATTTTACTCTAATTTTCACAAATTATATAATTTCACAACTCACTCTGTCCATTAAATGCATAACATGATAGTAAAGAATCTATCATAATATAAAGAGTAAAATTTACTTTCCAAAACACTACTATTGTAAATAAAGATTTACCATGGTAAAAAATGTTTAAACATAATAAAATAAGTTTATCATGATAATTTAGGAAATAAGCAACATAAATAAGAAGAAATAATTAGTACATTAAGTTGATTAATTTTTACCTAATGGGATCCCATTGAAAATCAATAGTTTAAAATTAATAAAATGATAAAAAAGTGTATTTAAGAGGAAAGTATAGTTTCTAAAGGCTAAATTACTAAAAAATAACTTAAATTAAGGTCAAAGAGATCATTTCAGAAGTAAAAAACTTAACAGGAACAATTCTAAAAAATTTGTATCATATACCAAGAGAGGGAAATCCACCCTCTGTGACATATATTGTGGCATAGACGACATATGCCACATCAACATATTGACAGTATGAATAATGACAACAAACTTCAAACCAACATAACTTACTTTACAAATATTCAAATTGAGTAATTTAAATGTTCACACGAAACTTATAAAAAAATTTAGCTAACGACTTTAGTTTGATATAAAAACTTCTCTAAATGAGAATTTTATCCACCATATCCTCTTTAAGGCCAAAATATACTTTTACACTTCACAAGCCTAAAACTGAAGCCAATGGTTAATGTGTAGGGCACTTGACTAACTCAAACCCATTCCAAACAACCATTTCATATCAATAACTTGACACATTCATATACAACTCTCATAATTGGGTTATAGTTATCCAACATAATTACATATATGAAAATGTAGCAATCCAAGGAAAACAAAATATCTTTTATTCTAATAACTTAATAATCACAAATCATAATTTGAAAAGCCATGAATATCAACAAAATAGACTCATGGCAACCAATTACAAAGTTAAGCACAATATGAAAGTCACACGCTCCTAATAACATGTATAAGCCCTAAAGTTGGCAAATGTACATATAACTAATCAAAAAGGGCCAACATGGCCAACTGATATTTACCTACACTAACTAAGCTTCCAATGCTTCTCTGGCTGAACTGTTTCCTATAAAAATGTTAATCATAGGGAGTGAAACACAAAAGTTTAAGTAATGAAAATTAATATGCAGTTATGCATGGAATGCAACCTATCATGCAATTGTTAAGTGGGACATAAAAGATAAATTTCAAACATTGAATATTCAAATAAAACTAAATAATTTATATTTTAGCATGACAACACTTTATATTACTCTTATCTCTATACTCAAAACCAAACCACTCGGCCAAAGGTGGGTTGGTCCAAGCTTATAGTCACTTATTAGGCCTAATGAAGGCTTACTATGGGGTAAAACAACAACTTTAGACAAAATATCCAAATAATGCATATTTTCCAAACAATCCCAATATGTCATGCTTTTAAACAATTAGACAAAAACATAACTGAACAATTATATACTTTCAAATAATAATCATTTCCCAAAAAAAATTCATATATTTACATATGTAATATCATTTCACTTGATAGTTATTTTTTCGAACAACAAAAACATGTTTTTTCAACATTCTCATTTCCAGATAATATAAACACACACATGACAAATCACAATGCAAACAAAATTGCATATTAATAATGGTTAACTTATCTGCTTGCTAGCAAAGCTCCCTAAACAATAGCACTTTCACCTTTCTCGGTGTTTCTACCACAATTTACATATATCACAATACTAACTATAATTAATAGAGTACTAATAAATTAACACTAATCAAAGTGTATACACACTAATCACACTCTAATCCTAGAATTCAGTTAATCAGTCTCATTAATTCAAATCTATCACAACCATTTAAAACCTTAAACTCACTTGAAATCATCATCATTATACTTCCTAAGCATCTATTTCACCTTCACACAACCCAAATCATCAATAAAATCACCCAACAAGGTCTAGAATTTTAGATTCAACCCAACTACCACATTTATTAGCATCCTAAGAACCCAAATAATAATTAGTAAACCTCAAAATATCCATATAATTTGAATCTAAGTGTTGGGAATACTTAAAAATGAAATTCAAGCACCAACCTCTTCATAAACTAGACTAAATAGGAGAATAGAAGGTAGAGAAGAGATTAAATGAGCTTACCTTAGAGATCAATGCTTCTACCAAACCCTAGCAAAGAGCATTAAAATCATGTACTGAATCCTAACTCTCCCTTCTTTGTGCCAGAACAATATTTGCTAAATACATGCTATGGTATATGGCATAGTGGCATACAATCCCACCTAAGCCCAATAATTTGGGTTTAAACTAGTCCATTACTTATTTTATACTTCAAATAACTTGAATACATGATCTTAGGCCCAATTTAAACTATAATTCTAAATAATTAATTAACATCTATAAACTAAATCAATATAAATCCTCAATCAAATCCTTAAATTATATGTTCAATTAAATCCTCAACTACACACATTTTCATAATTAAATCCTTAAGTACTCATATGTTGTCAAAGCAAACCTCAAAATAATATCATCCCTAATTATATACATTTAATCAAAACCTCAATTTTTACTATTAATTCATAATTTAAAAATCAAGATGTTATAAAGCACATATTGATAAGTCCTTATAAATAAGATTGAAAGAAGTAAAAAATCACACTTTAGATTTATTAATTGAAAAATTCACTCTGGTGAGAAAACTAAAGAGTGAGGACCTGACTTCTTGTCTCTAGTAAAGTAATAGCACGTGTGATTCCAAAATTGATTTTAATAATTCAACTATATATTCTTTATTAAAAAATATAAGATATTTTTAACTAAATTTTATCTTCATAAAATGATTAATTTTCTTTAAATTAATAACATTTTGTTCTATTTACCCATATATAAAAGAGTATTTCATTTTAAAGTCAATATAAAGTAATTTATTTATTATAGGAACTTTAAAAAAAATACAATGATTAATGCCTTGAAATACTATGTTTGATATTTTTTAACATCTAATTCTTTTAAAAATACTTTATATTTTTTAAGGCAAAGAGTATATGCATATATTCTTTTTTTTTTTTTGTAAGGAAGAAAAAGAAGACAGGTGGGCGGAAATAAAATAAGAAAAAGGACATGGCTGGATTTAAAGGGACAGCCAAGTCAACTGGGGATTTGCTTTGCTTTTGTCCTATACCCTTGACTCCCCAATAATAGTGTATGTGTGTATAGTCCTTTCCGACCAAAAAATAAAGTATTAATAATTAATTTATAATTTTTAAAAAAGTTAGTTAAAACCTTAATTTTTTAAAAATATTGCATATTTTTAATTTTACTCTTATTGAATACTCTCTATAATGTTTTGATAATGATAATTAAAATTATAATATATCATTTTTTAAAAAGAGTAATTAATAAAGAAGGGGCATAGTTGAAAAAAACAATTATAACAATTATTCAATGTCATATATTTTGGTCTAAGCAAGACTTCTAAAAAATACCTTATAATGTGGTCCAAAGAGAGAGAGAGTGTATATATATATATATATATATAATATAACCACACAACTTCTTTTCCTCACTTGCTCTTGTTTAAATTTACAAAATTATGGAATGTTGCACTCTTTTGTTGAAAAATAATATAAGCTATTTTTTTAAGGCTGAATGTTAAAAAATATAAAAATTTTTAATTTTTTAATGTGTAATTAATGAGTTTTCTTTTCAAAACTATCTTTAATAAATATTACTCAACTCTTCACTTTAAGCAAGACACTCTATTAAATAAAGATAGACATAGAAAGATAGTGTTAGGTTGAAGATAAATAATTAATTTATTGAAGGTGTAATTTAATTAAAAATGTTTTATATTTTTTAACCGAGGAAATATATTACAAAAAATGATTTAAAACTAGTCCCATACAACCTTACACTCATTATGTCAATTTTTTAGTTTTAATTTTTAAGATATTTTAATTCAATTTTATAATGTTAAGTTCTCAAAAACTATAGTGAAATTAAATATTTATGGCTTGAAATATATATATATATATATATATATATTTTTTTTGACCCAAACTGTTTTTGCTCTATGACTATTATTCTATATCTATGGTGTTATTTAGTGAAAGCAGAGGATTATTTGGTTTGTTTTGTATCAGCACCTCCATACACAATTTTTTTTGTTTTTTAACATTGAAAAACCATCATCCCAAAATATTAACACACCATGTATGATTGTCTCAATGTTCAAGTAATTCTTATGCTTCTATTTTTTACGGTGTGAGGTGCTTCAGTTTGTAACCTATGTTGCAACATCCACAAATTGTGCAGCCTCTCTGAACTGAGATTCTGGTTTCAATATTGCGTGCAGGCAAAAGCATAAATAAGAATTAGAGAGAACAATTTAAACACAGCCATGTTCAGGTGATTTCCATAAACCTTTATTCTCCCACGTCAAAAAATCCTATTATGAAGTACATCATCATCGTCTTCTTCTATGCCATTGCCAAGAAGAACACAGAGGAATTGGTAAGAACGCACAAGCATCATGAAAAGGCAAAACGAAGAAAACAAAATTAAACGGATCAGGAGAGCTATTACACAGACATTCTCTCCCTAGTTAGGCCTTCTCCTAGTCCACTGTTTCAGGCATGCCTTTGAACTCTGGCCCTTTTGCTATCTACATACAACTTTAATCGCTGTTTTTAATTCCTTAAACAGTGTAGTGCTGCTGGATTGTGTCAATGTCCAGACCTTTCAGCTTCACCACTGACTCAACATGACCCTTAAGCGTGTGAAGCTCACGGAGCCTGAAAGTACAAGCAAAAAAGAACGATTCATGTTGTTAAAAGCTAGGGACTAGGTTTTATTAGTTTCAGTAACTATGATTAGAAATCTCAGATCTATGTTGTGGTTGGTTTAATTACCTTGCAACTTCGGCTCGTCTCTTGGCCTGCTCAGCAATCTCAGAGAGTTCTCTGTAACTATTCTTTTCACTGAAAATGTTAGAAGCTTCTGGAGGTTGAAGTCCATGCAGTGTTCTCTGAGCAAGTGCCCATTGAGCCTCCCTCTCTTCCTTTCCATAGTCTTTCTTGGTGGTGAAGGCAGTCTGAGACACATTTCAGAACACCGATTATTCAAACCTATCAAAGTAAGGAAGACAGAAAGCAACGGCAATCTCCATTCATCATAGATACATACCTTGTTTTCTAGAAGATTGAGCCAAGCCTTGCCACTTAGGATGTAACGGATAGCAAATTTTAAAAAGTCCAGTGGAACATAGAAGACAACACTGTAGAGCCAGACTACTCCAGCCCAGCCCCATCCAATTCCTTTGATCCTTGCAAATCCCCAATTGGCATAAACTGCTATGAAGGTAGCAATCTGCAAGTCCATTAAGTACAAAATTTAGTTCAACCTTCATCAGCAAAGAAAACATGCAAGTTCATCATGATAACTTGATATCTTTACCAGCTGAGCAATAACAAAAGCTGTCATTAAAAGCAACCCAGGGCGTTCAACATAGGACCAGCTACGAGAACGGGTCACAAATATCAGAGCCTGGCTCACTATACTGACTTGTAGGTACAGAGCAGCCATCATTTCATGTGGACTGTCATTTAGAGGTCTAACTTTGAATTTGTCCTGGATTGTTAAGAATTTGAGTCAAGAGAAGCATAATTTAAGGTGCTGGCAGAGAGTAATATGAACATCTTTTTATCTTACATGGAAGAAGTCAGTTTCTTTCATTGCCCAGAAAAATATGACAGTCATCAGAGCCAAATAACCTCCAAGCACAATCCCAGTGGCAAAAATTTCTTTCAGTTTCCAACTATCAGGCAAGGGAGATGGCTTCACTCTGTCCTTTGAAATTGTCATGATTGTTCCTAATAGAATAATACAGTTGACATATCAGATATCCATTTTCAATCAACAAAGACACAATGAAGAAGCCTATATATATAGAGAGAGATATTTCAGGTCTGTTCAGGATTTTACCGTCGTTTAGAATGGCAATAATCAAAACCATGAAAGGAGAGAAGTCAAATTTCCATATCAATGCAATGAACATGAAGCCAAACTGCATTGAGAAATAAAAATCATTTAAACTGATGAGTATTCATTCTTTGTCATCAAGAAATTTGCTTAATTATAGTCAATGTTATATAGCTTTTACTTACCACTATACGTATAGTGATGGAGACTGCATAGATCTGCAATACAAGTAACACAACGTAAGGATAGTGTTGATTTTACAAGATAGAAAGAGGAAGAAATGCACAAGAACAACTTACAGTGTAGTTTTTCATTCTTTGGAAAATAGCTCTACTAGTCAAGACAGCACTTATAATAACACTCAATCCAGGTTCAGTCAAGACAATATCAGAAGCACTTCTCGCTGCATCGGTGGCATCAGCAACTGCAATACCGATATCAGCCTTCTTCAGAGCAGGAGCATCATTGACACCATCACCAGTCATTCCACAAATGTGCTTCCTCTCTTGCAACTTCCTCACAATCTCATATTTGTGCTCTGTAAAAGAACATCAATTAGTAATATAAATGGTCAGGACCAGCAAAGTTTTTGAGAGAAAAGAAAAACAGAATTGTTAAAGAGGATGAACCTGGGAATACTCCAGCAAATCCATCTGCCTTCTCAATCAACTCTTCCACGGGAAGTGAAGCAATATTTGCATCTTTATCTTGACCAAGCAAGGAAGCAGATGGGTACATGTTTGTTCCCATGCCAAGTCTCCTTCCAGTCTCCTTTGCTATGGCTAGTTGATCACCTGGAGATCAACAAGAAATGAAAAACGTTAAATTGATTAAATTTGACAATAAATGCATGTCTTCACTGAAGAAGATACTCACCAGTAATCATCTTGACATTTACTCCAAGATTAAGAGCTCTTCTAATGGTTTCAGCACTGTCATGCCTAGGGGGGTCAAAAAGTGACAGCAACCCTACAAACTGCCATGGAGCACCAGCACTTTCTTTAGTTCTCTCAGGAACTTCCTGCATAAATGACACAAGAGGACCAATAAGCCATTTGTTTGTTGAGTGAAATGAAAAGGCCAATACAAACTCTCAACGTGATCTTCACTCAAGCTAATAAAAACCTGTCTTGCAACAGCAAGTGAACGGAGGCCTCTCTCTGCAAACTTGTCGATAATAGCATGGACCTTTTTCTTAGTATCTTCCCTTAGGTTGCACAAGGTCATGATCTGATGAGCGAAAAAACAAAACAAAACATTAATGAAATCAATTGAGTGACCGGAATTTCTTTCAAACCACAAACTCAATCATCAGGTTACCTGCTCTGGAGCACCTTTACTTGCCCGGTGCCAATTTCCATCAGCATCGATGTAAGTCAAAGCAGTTCTCTTGTCAACAGGATTGAATGGAAGGAAATGCACCTCCCTAATCCCAGCCCTTGCCTGCTCATTAGTTAGACATGTTAAATACAATCATGCACATCGAAAGTTCTGGTTCTTAGATCAGTTGATGAAGAGAAAGTTAAACCTCTTTCGGGTCAGCGAGCATCCCAACAATGGCGGCATCAATGGCATCCTGGTTTTCAGTTCTGGAAGCCCTTGCAGCAAGAAGCATCACATGCTCCTTGTCCACGCCCTTTGCAAAGACCTCAATCAAGTTCCTGTCAACACTAAGCTTGTTAAGTGTGAGTGTCCCAGTCTTGTCACTGCAAAGAACATCCATGCCAGCCATCTCTTCAATGGCAGTCATACGCTTGGTGATGGCACCTTGTTGAGAGAGCTTATGAGAACCAATGGCCATTGTGACAGACAGCACAGTGGGCATAGCAATGGGGATTCCTCCAATCAAGAGGACCAAGAGGTTTTCAACTCCATCTCTATACTTTCTGTGTTGGATAGGATACATGACTATGATCTCAGTCAACATTCCAACAGCAATGGAGCAAATACAGAAGTTCCCAATTGCTGTGAGAACCTTCTGGAAATGCCCAACTTGGTTGGTGCTGTCCACAAGGTGAGCTGCTTTCCCAAAGAATGTGTGAACGCCAGTTGCAATAACAACAGCTTCAATCTCACCTTGTTTGCAAGTTGAACCAGAGAAGATTTCATCTCCAGGGTTCTTGGTCACAGGAAGAGATTCTCCAGTCAGAGCAGATTGATCAACCTTCAAAGGATCACCCTCAAGAAGGCGAGCATCAGCAGGAATGATGTCACCTAGTTTTATGCTTATAATGTCTCCAGGAACCAGAATTGCAGCTTCTTCCTCAGTCCATTTACCATCTCTAAGAACCTACAGAAAGTAACTCCAATTTATCTCCTGTACTTGCTCAAATAACTCAAAACAATATACATTCTTGTCCCCACACAATGCCCTTTATCACAGTATTCATAATGCTATCAAAATCTGTAAGAGTTTACACTATTCATAGACCATGAATGTACCATAATCGGAAAATCTCAATTAAGGACCAGAGAAAATCAAGAATAACCATTCAGGACCATAAAATGTTGAAATTGACATTTTTCCATTTTTTAAAAAAATATTGTGACTAAAAACCTTAATCTGAAATGCATGTCCAGTCACTTAGTCATGACAATAATTTGTAAATTGCAGAAAAGGACCCTAGCACTTAAATTCAATTTCAAAATTTTATGGTTCTCAATAGTTATTACTGATTTTCATTGGTCCTTAATTGCGATTTTCCATACATAATTGTCCCCGCACCATGCACGTTATCACAATATCAATATACCAATATCAATTATCAATTATATTATATCTATAAGAAGTTACGCTATTCATATGCCATGAATAGTGAGACTCACATTAAATTTCATAGAAAGAACAGGCCTAACATCCGGTTTTTATGTCATTTGCTAAAGAAATCTTATTCTCACATAAACTTTAAGTCTCATTAGAAAGCACGAATACCCATATATGCACAAGCACAACATAGCACTTGGCCAACTCAATTCAGAGATGATACAAAAACACAAGTATTACCTTTGTCTTAGGGGCAAGACTAGCCATAAGAGCAGCAGCAGCATTTCCAGCATTGTTTTCTTCAATGAAACTGATAGTGGAGTTGATAACCAACAAACATACAATACCCACAAAGTCCTCCCAATCTGGTGGCTTTCCATCACCATTTGCCAGAGCAATCGCCATAATTGCTGCAGCTTCCATAACCCATGACAGAGGATTCCACATGAACCCAAGAAACTTGAGTATTTTGCTTTCCTGTAACAGTTTTTAGTATCATTTAGCCTCATCAATAAGTGGCACTTAAAATTGTGTTTTTGGAGAAGTAGTAATTAGCCATTGATGGGAATGGGACCTTCTTCTCTTCGAGTTTGTTGGGTCCAAATATCTGAAGCCGGTTGGCTCCTTCCTCTGAGGACAGACCTTCTCTGGTACATTTCAATTGCTCAAACACTTCATCTATGGGAATACGTTCCTGTAAACAAGTAACAAAATTAGAAACTTGTGGGCTGTCTTTTGCTTCCTTTCAAGACTCCACTTGTATCTTCAAGAGATAGTGTTAGGAAAGACAGTGAGACAAATACTCTGCATACTGACCTACTCTAACGAGCATAAAAATACTGTGTGAGTTATATGTTTAAGGACAAAATTAGCTCATTTCACAGTTCTTCAAAATAACTATGATAGTTAATATTGTTAAACTTTGTAAAAAAATGTTTGACTTTTTAATTTTATGATTTCACTAAAATTAATGGTCACAATAAAATATATCTAAGAATTACAATTTGGCTCAATCAAAGAGAGGCAATATTGAAAAAATATTGACAACTACTCCCTTCATTCAAAAATGTAAGACATTTTTAACTAAATTTTACCCCCCAATAAGATAGTTATCTACTTTCAAACTAACCTTATCTTTTTATATTTACCCCTATTAAACATCCTACAATGAATATAAAGTCATTATCAATAAGGACACTTTTGAAAAAAAAGTAGTTATTATGCCTCGAAAAACTAAAAATACCTTACATTTTTTAACATCCAACTCTTTAAAAAATATCTTACATTTTTAAACGGAGGAATATATATTGTCTTTATATTTAGTATTAATTAGGATCTTAAACCTTTTCCTGTAAATAGGAGCAGAGGGGGTATAGTTTATTCAAGGTGAGGCAAGGTAAGCAACGAACTTCACATATCATTATATGATTAATTTATAAATTGTGGTTGGGGAAAAAAAAACTACACTAAACTAAACTGTCGAGGCAGCCAAACAGGCCCCTGTATTAAAGCAACCGCATGCGTAGGGGAGCATTCAGAAAGAGCCATGGAAGGCGAGCCAGCCAATCACGAGCCGTTGACTCTAGCGCCGGATAGTGTCTGATGGGACATGAGCACTATCTCTCCATGTGATTGGAGCGTGTAAATCACGCCCAACAACCGATCACGGCTCGGATAACTTGGGACCCGTTTGGTTAAATTACAATTTTCACAGGACGGTATGAACAAAATATTAGCCGGTCCTGGTGTGGTCTCCAAGAAAATTCGAAGAGACCCCTAGGGCAAAACGGAGAAATAAAATTGTGGATCTTGTTATGTCAGGACCGTTGAAAATGAGTTCCCAATAAAAAGACGGTTAAGCAATTGGCCGTTTCCAGAAAGGCCAGAGTCATAGTACCACGGCTTAAGTACTTCAAATTCCGTCTGAGAGAGATAATAATAATAAAGTTAACTTAATTAGAAGAATCCAAAGTGAAAATCACATCCTCAACGAAGGAAATGTGTTGAATAGAACTCTGTGGAGCTCCTTTTTAGCTTCACATCTTTGGGATCTACCTCTGAGAATTAACAGAAACAACATGTTTGGCGGCAGGGAAAGTGATCGGTTGGGAGATGTGAGTTGTGCTCGGAATTATTTACACAAACACGTATAGCTGTCATTTTCCAGGCATGTTTAGCTGATTCTCATGTTTCGGTTCCTTATTTTTTGCCCACGATGAAAACAATGTGAGGAATCCATGGAAGAGTTTATGCAGAAAAGAAACATTTTTTCCAGAAACAGAACACGGGTTGCTTCCCCAGAAACAGAGCATAAGAATAGAGCCATGGCTTCAAATTAACTGTGAAGCAGAACAGGCTGATAGATATGATTAAAAAGGGAAGTGAAGTTAGGTGTGAGTAAGGCAAGCAAGGAGAGTTAATTAAGAGAGCATGAATGGAGGATCTGGTTGGCTAGGCGTAGAAGGAAGCTAAGGAAGAGACGTACCAGATCAACAGCCTCGTTCTTGATCTCCTCAAGGCTGATAGCCTTATCTCCCCCCATGGGTGATCAACGCAGAAGAATGAAGATGATGAATGATATGTCAGAGCTGAGGAGAGAGCGATATATATATATATATATATATGGGGATTGCAAGAATGGAGAAGCAGGGGCGGTGGGGCCTGAGGAAGTGAGAGAGAGAGAGAGAGGAGAGGAAGGTGGAAGAAGCAAGAGGGGCTTGGCTTTGCCTGTGTGTAGTTATATAGTTTACATTGCGAGTCAGAATACTGCCTCACATATTAGACTCTCTCTCTCTCTCTCTCTCTCTCTCTCTCTCTGTCGTTCCGACTTTCCTAGTTGCCACCCATGTTGACATCATTTTACATTCATTTCAATATAAACACTAATTTCAAATTGGACTTTATGTTTGTTTTTTCTTTTTTCTTTTTGATATTACAATTATGTGATATTGAGTGCCACCGTGTCAGATTTGATCATTATCTGATTTTTTTTTTTTAAAGCTGCAAGACTTGAATTTCCAACCTTAACTAAATAAGAGAATCAAGTTACTTCTACTAAACCTAAATTGTAAATTCAGGTAGAATTTTTGTGGGCTCTGTGGTGTTTGTCTATTGGAAATGAGCTAATCGCTCCCTACATTTTTTTTAAAAAAAATGATGAAATTAGAATGTGTTTAGAATAACGTGGGATAGAGCCAAAACCAGGTTTTGGCAGGAGTAACTCGAAAGTTATTTGTGCAGAAATCACGTTTTGACTTATGGAAACGCGAATCCAAGCAGGGGATGTAGTTTTAAAAGTAGAGTTGAAAAATGTAAAATATAAAATACAAAATAGTAGTGAATGAAATAATAAAAAAGGGTTGAAAGACAAAAAAAGAGGTCCGATGGAGTTTGAGTGGGGGCGGGGTCAGAGTTGTGAAGGCGCAAGGCAAGAGGGACATAATAATAGAGGCCGTCTTGCGGAAGATGTTTAAGCCCAAACGAAACATCTCCCTTTCATACCAAACAATCAAAACCATAGCTAAAACTAAAACATCCTTCCTTGTTTCTTTAATTTATTCCCGTGGGGGCCGCTCACCAAGCCACTTTTTTTTTTTTTTGCCCTTACACCTCGGTATTTTAATCCTTTGATCTAGAATAATTCAATTAATAGTTTGTGAGCATCTCTTTGAAAATATATCTCTCACTAAAAATTTTAATTGCTGTTCCATATTTAGGACTCAAATTAAAAAACCTGATTAAGTTGGAACAACTTTCTAACTAGTCCCCCCAAAAAACTGGCCCCTAATTAAGTATAACTAACTAGTTCATCCATAATAATTAAGTCACTTTTAGTTACGTTTTTGAAATTAAGAAAATGTAGTTAAATTATTTATATTGTTAAAAAAATTCGATTTAGTCTTATTAATTGCATCTTTTTTTTTTGTAAGAAAAGGCATCATTTTTTAAAATATGTTCCCTTTCATTTGCAACCTCTTTACACTACTTATAAAAAATTACAGAAGGACAAAATTAGAGAAAAATAATTAATAGTCCATCTTATAAAATGAAAAAAAAAATCTTCTAAAAAAATAACTTATATATAGGACCAAAATAAGTAAATATTATGAATATTTTGACTAGTAATAAGGAATTGTGCTAACTTAATCAATAGTATTTAGTTTGCATATTGGATATGTAGTTACATTTTAATAATTATTAGAAGAGCTTTGCTGTTAATGTGATAATCCATAAATAAAAAGCAGTTTTGTGTGTGTGTGTACAGAATAAGTAGTTGCTTGCCTTTTTACCTCTTTCATTTTTTTTTTCCCCTCATTAGACTATTGAAAAATATTAATATTTTAAATATTTCAAAAACCTATCACATGTATATGACAGGATTTGACTTTTGGTGGCTTCTGACTTGTCTTTTCTGGTCAAAAAAATATTAACAAGTCATTCCATCGCTTAAATAGTTAATTTGACATGTAGTTATAATCTGATTATATATGATGAATTAGAATGTGTGTGTTATAGGCGAAGTAGTAAATTCCGTGATAATTTCATTCTCCCTTTTTATTATTGACTAATTAATTATATGACAATGAGAAGTTCAATTTTATTCCCAAATCTATTAGTGTATGTGTATGTATGTGTGTGTGTGTGTGTGTGTGTGTGTGTATATATATGTATATTCGTCACTTCCCCAGTTAATTATTATATTATTAAAAACTTCAAACGGCAAATGTCAAAGATTCTACGTACTCGCCAACTCATATCTTTCTTCATGTCCTCTTATTAATTACTTATAAGTATTTAAAAATCTTTAAAAAAAATAACACTTTTTTTTAACAATTATTGAACACGTTATGCTTAATAGTATATTATTGACATAATTTCAATATGACAACCATTACATAGGATGATTCCTCAGGTGAAACGCACCGTTACGTCTCGTGGCGTTTAGCAATAGCGAAGAGGCATATATGGCCAAAAAAGATAGTCTATTTTATTCATTACGTTTGAATTATAATGGCTTGTAATTTATATGGCATAGAACATTATTGAATTCTGGTACTTATATATAGTGCAATGTAATGTGCATTATTATTTGTTCTTTAAAATTCTTTTAATTACAAAAATTTAGGTCAATTTAGTGTCAATAATTTACTAAGGTCAGATTTCACAACTTATAGAGTTCAACCGTAAAATTCAAACCCATATCCTTATAGACGATGTCTAAATCATATCATTACCAATTAACCATTGGATTTATCAATGTTGAAATCTAAGTTCGATACCAAAAATTGGAATTTTTCATGACAAAGTATGGACAACGTGTACATCCATTAACAATAGGATTTCGATTTTTGTTCCCTTTTTTAATTAATTACGTACCTTTGAAATCCTCCGAATTAAAGCATCAAGTTTTATTGGCCTAAGACCTAACGTGTTGAACAATAGATCAAGAGATTAATCTAGGCTTTCAAAATTAATCCCACTGCCAGGACTTAAAATAGTGACAAAAGGGATTAACCTTCGATGAAGTTTGTGTTTCTAGACTTCTATTCGTTTTTAAGTGAAATCCAATACCACATGTTGGGGGAAAAAAACACTCTAGGATGCTTTGAATATAAGGAATAAATAATTATCCATCAAAATTTAAAAAAAAATGTTTTGAACTAAAGAAAAATCTCTCTCAAGTCCTAGAGAAAAAATAATTTAAATTCAGATAAGTTTAATGAAATCACAAAATTACTATGTAATCCCATATGTTTTATTGAAATTGTCAATTTGCTATATATGGAAGTTATCAGTTACTGTTAGATGGGTATTAGTAAAATTGTTAAGTTGATAACTAAGCGGCGATTATTAACAACTATATATCCAGCAGTAATTGATAATAAGAGAGGACATAATGAGACTTCATAATAATTTTGTAATTTTATGAGACATTTTTGTATTTATTTTTTTTAATATTATTTAGAAGTCACTTTTAACTTATTTTATTAGAATTAAAAAAATATTAAAACTTATTAATTCTGCCTAAAAAATAAAATTTTAATAAATTTTTAAATTTATCCTTATTAAATATATATGTTTAAATAACGTACTTTCTATCACTAATATTTAATAAAAGATAAAAAAATTATAATAAAAATTTATTAACATGAACTTAAATAAAAATGCATTTTTTTCTCTTCACCTTGTAAAAAGTACTAGAGTAATAAAGAGTATGATTGAAGCTCTTTCTTTCCTTGTTTTTTTTTGTTTTTGGGACGAAAAGATATAAACTCTATCAAACCAAATATGCCAAAAGATACGTATCAAATTATCAGTGGGTTCAATATATCATACGTTAACATAAAATTTGAAGCAAAAAATTTATAAGTTTTTTTTAATTTATACTCCCTGCCATCCAAAATCAATGTTTTAAAACTTGGATCGGTCAGAGAATTGAAAAAGTTAATAAGTCGCGGTTCCCCAGATGTAATACAAATAATATTTTATATCTAATAATACATATATAAAAAATAAAATACTTAAAAATTAAAACCTTAGAAAAAGATTACAATAGATAGACAGAATAAAACAACATGTTGATAAATATATTACATAAAATATAATTAAAAACTTTGCATTCACCTAAATTTTTTTTTGACACTCCGGAGTAAATTTTATTTTCCAATTGTCATTTCACATGACACCATCTTTTTTTTTTTTTTTTGGTGCTGACACATCTATCATCTATGGCCTACCCTCTTTTGCATTCAATGTTGGATAATTTCAAAAATCAAAAGTAATTTCCCAAATTTACTCAATTACTCCCTTCACACGATTTCTGTCTTCTCATTTCCTTGCCTTATTTGAATTTTTCTTCTTTTTATCTTTCTTCTTCGTGTTTTATCTTCTGGAAACCATCTGCAGAAAACTGTTCCTTGCCATACACAGTGACACCTGCAATATTGTGGAGATAAGAGAGAGGTCGTCGTTCTATTGGGTTATGATCAATAAAATGATAATGATGAGATGTTTTTAGTATTTTCTTCTTTTGTTAAAAAAAATCTGTTTAGATCTTCTTTTCTTTTTATTCAGTGTTCTTCAACATTATTCTTCATCATCCTTCATCTAAAGTTTTTTTTTTTTTTTCCTTCAACATTATTCGAAAGCATTAGCGACCAACTTTTTCACCTAGCCCATTTCGATATGCCTTTGACCTGCTCTGAGTTCCAATTCAAATCTAATTTTTTGAAACCTGCCTGGTTCAACCTAAGTTAATCCAGTCTAAGTATTTGAATGGTCCAATTGACTTGATTGAGCCACTTTTAAGGATGGGTGATAGTTCCATCAATGAAATTATTCTTCTTGTGAAAATATATATTATTTTTTTTTTACTCTTAGTTTTAATTTATAATAAATGAGAAGAAGATTATAAATTCACAAACATAAGAATTTTAATTAAAAAATAAGAGATAAAATATAAAAAATTATTTTTATAAATATTAAGTTGTTTATATTTTGAACTACTATTAGTTGGAAAAAAAAAAAGTTGTACTCTAGATCCGAAGGAGCATACCATCTTCAGTCCAATTTTATTTAACGTGTGATTTTTTGACTCCTTCCTAAATAAAGTCAAATCCCAAGTTACATTCCTGGAAGGACAATAGGAGATTGAATTAATTGATTAATTAATCGAGAAATTGACCCAAGAA